CATAACGGGTACATCCCACACACTCTTCAACATCATTAGAACTCTCTTCATCAACTAAGGTGGGAGGAGAACTGGGCACACTATGCACATCACCTTCAATCAGATTACACACTTATTTGTAGCTGGTTAGAGTTATGCAGGCATTAATTATACATGTATTAGTTATGCAAGAACAAATTATGCAGGTATTAATTATGTAGGGTTTAGTTACACAGGTATTAGTTATGATATTGTTACGTAGGTATTAGTTAGAGTAATTTCCCTGGATAGTCACCCATGTTTGAGAAATTACCTAGGAATATCACTTATGTTTGTTTTAGGACCACAATATCACCCAACTTTACCTATTTTCCTCAAAATATACCTGACACAAAAAAAAACATTATCTCTCCTAATAGGATGCCATGTCACATGCATTATTCCTTTTTTATTATTAACTTTTTTTTAATTCTTTAAATGACAACTTGTTTAATGTATCTATAAGAGAGCATTAATCCATTCTCTATGAAAATCTAGTTACATCAATTTTATAGCGAAAATCTTTATCCTATGTTTCATTTACAAGTATTTGCAGTTATATCCATACAAAAATTTAGTCTTGTTGTCGAGGAAAAAATTAACTATTTCCTTGAAGCTGATGAAGAAGACAATAAATTTAGTAACAATTTTTTTATCACCACCTTATAAACAAATTTGATCTTCAAAGTAATATTTTTTTAGCATAAACGCTTCAAAAAAGCATGTCATGATTTGCTATAATTTACAACTAAATAATATTTTTATAGACAAGTGGCAACATCACACTGTAGCAGACCATAATGTTACCACAGGGATTTTAGCAAAAAGAAGACCCATCATGTGTCTAAAGAAGTGATTCACATAACTAACAAAAGACACTAATACATAATCTCAAATGTTTGCTAGAGTTTCTCTCCTTCTGCAAAACAACTACATAATCCTTCATTTCTTCACTTTTTAGTGGAAGATCAATCAACAGATTCAGCATACACCTGAGCAAACATAGAAAAAAATCTAAGCAATAAAAGCAATGGAAAAAAAAGTTACAACTAAACAATGAAACTAATGAAAGAAAAAACAAATCAAAAATTCATTACTTGAGTTTGTGAAGTTCAAATTCATTTGAGAATTTACTCACATTTCTAGATGATAAAATTTAGAATAGTCCCAGAAGTCATCATTTTCAGCTTGCTCTAAGGTCTGACTTGGAGATTGATTGGAAGATGTGCCAACAACCCTTTTGAGCACATTATAATGACCTTTTGCATTATGACCCTCCTCCTTGCAAATTGAACACCTTCCTTTTACAAAGCCTTTTTTTGACAACTTCTGAGGTTTCATGTTTTCGGTCTTCTTTCGAGCTCTTTTTTTAGTAATTTCAGCAGCTTTTTGCTTCTCTAATTCTTCTGGTTCTTTCTTCCTATTTTTGGGGTTCCTCCCCCTCTTTTTCTTCACAACATTAGGAGGAAAAATTCTCCACCATTTAATACTTTTGGCCAATGATCTTCATGATTTGTTGGGTTGAAAAATCGGAGGAAGCCACATATTTTCTTGAAGAATCGGAGGAGCTCATATTTGGATTTGCTGCCTAATCCCCCAGAACTTGGGTAGAAATTTTTGGGCTATGTAATTTTTTTTTACTGGGTAATATGGGTTGTCTAAATTTTTTTTAAAAAAATGCTAATAATAAAAAAGAATAATGCATGTGACATGGCATCCTATTAGGAGAGAGATAATGTTTTTTTTGTGTCAAGTATATTTTGAGAAAAATAGGTAAAGTTGGGTGATATTGTGGTCCTAAAACAAACATAAGTGATATTCCTAGGTAATTTCCCAAACATGAGTGACTATCCAGGGAAATTACTCGTATTAGTTATACAAGGTTTAGTTATGTAGTTATTACTTATACAAGATTACAATACATTGGTGAGTTAATTCTTATTTCTTGATTCCAAAAATGTTTAGTGAGCTAATGTTTATTATACTCATTAAAATAAACAACTATCTAAATAACACATTAAAATTAAATAGATACCAATAACTAAAAATAATAAAATAAATAACAAATAGCTAGCAATTAAAAGTAATTTATATTGGATAGGATTAAGCAATTAAGTAATTTAAATCTCTCTCTATATACAATAGAAGAGGAAAAATAACAAAATTTATAATTAATTAAAATTATATATTTATAATTACATTAAATTAAAAATTACAATTCTAAACTAAAAAATAAATTTAAATCAGTATCTATTACATATAGATAGATTTTAAAATTTACCTTTTACATTTTTTATTTTAAAAGAATAAATAGATACTAAACAAAAGAAATAATTTAAAACTATGAATCCTAGGGAAACGAGAGTTTGAAATAGACATTTGTTATTTTATATATAAACTAAAATAATTAAAAGACCGAAAATAGAAACTTTAATTTTTATTTTTTTAAAAATAACTAACACCAACGTAATTCAAATTCCTCTTCCAGTTATTTGAAAAAAAAGGTTCTATTTTGATTTGTTTTAAATTAATATGCATTTAAAAGTAAATTGATAAGGAAAATGTTAATACACGATATAACTAATACCCATATAACTTATTTCACTTTCTATTTCGCATAAATTATACATAGATTTCCACATAAGTTATGTAAGTCTTAATAATGTAGGATTATAAAAAATACAACCAAACATTATATAAAATTATTACATGAATAACTATTATAGAACATATGGAAACCTACCAACCAAACATTGTATAAAATTAAAACATGAATAACTTTAATCCTATTTTGCAAATCAAACATGGTATAAAATTAATAAATGAATAATAAAACTATTCATGTATTAGGTGTAGCTTAAATCAGCTACCAAACGACCCCTAAATTCGTCGATGATATAGCACATGCTCTTATTTTTAGCAATTTTCTCAATTCATTCATCTAGATTTGACATTTTTTTAAAATCTTTTTGTTACTTGTGTCGATCGAAAGAGCTCATCCTGGGCTAGCTGACACCCTAATTTTTTAATCTATGAACAAAATATAAACAAATTTAATCAACTTTATATGAACATATAAATTAAAAAGTTATTAATATTACCTACTAAGTCCCTAGTTATCGTCCCTTAGCTCTTTGCACCCCATGGTGTAATAGGCCACCTTTTATGGATCCCTTTTATCCAAAAATTTAGTGATTCTTTAATATGTCTGAAGATCCTTATTTAGTTCAAGTAAAAGTCAATTAGACTTTTTTTTTAAAGCATCTCTAAGCTAGTCGGACATTCTAAAACTGACATATTTTTCGTAGATGGTAGAAATAATCTTGTTATACTTTGAAACTCAAATACACAATATCGGCAAATCAAGTATCTAATCTTAGATGATATATTATAAAAAATTAAGGCAAAAAAATTATTAAATAACAATTAATTTGCATATTTTAAATTGATTAAACATGTCATATCGTGTCTTATTTGATATTTCACCCAAGAATGTATAAGGACGGTCATAAAACCTTCTAATACTTTCCCTGACAGTATTTGCGCTCTCTTTTCCTAAATAGAGTATGCCAAAAAGACAATAAACGTGTCAAATCATAAATAAATAAATAATTAATTAATTAAGATGAAAAGAAACAGAATAAATCAATTATGAAAAATAAACTTACTCAAATATGAAGCATATCCCTCAAGCATCCTTAAATTCATAACCCACTCACAAATCTCTCATTTCTGAAAAGCTACTCTTGTATTTGAACATTTTATTATTTTGTGATTTGTGCACTAATAGTTTCTTTCTCTGACAATATTTCTTTGAATATGTTCTGATTTTTGGATTATCTTGTCTTGTCCTTAACTTCCATCATTGTGTTGAACAAGTTATCAAAATATATTTTTTCAATGTACGTGACGTCGTCAAGATTACCTCGTAAAAGATTATCATCCCAAAACAATAACTCCCAAAAAATGTTCTGCTTAGTCCAATTATGCCCAAAACCATATCCGAAAAGTCTAGAAGGTGTAGCTTTTGTAACCTTAAATAACTGACAAACTCTTTCCCAAATTTTATTTCATGACAATGTTGGAGATGGCAGATCATTTTCAATTTTATTCATTCTGAAAATACTTTTATAATTCTAATCTCGTGATCCATTAACAAAATCTAATGGTGACAATATCAAATCATGATTTTTTACAATTGTGTTTAAAAGTGAATGTTTTTCTACAATCGTACCAATGGCATGTCTAATTTCCATCCTAGATTGTGAACAAAAAACTTTATACTTATAAGAACCGATGATTTAATATAAGCTAAAACTCTACACACTAAATCATCTACTATATAAATAAACAGACACCATAAACGAATATATGATCTATTAAAATTGAGCAAATATTTATTCTATAATAAATATTATTTCTTAACATATGATTAATAGTATATATCCCAACAGATATATCATATGTCACTACATCTTTAGAGCATAATTGTTTTAACTTGGCTATCAAGGGTCGTAGATAAACATCAATCAAAACTATAGCAAACAATGATTCTCCAACTAAGTATGTCCAAAGTAAATTAGTAAACAAAATCCATGCGACAAACTTGAGTTGTTTCCTCATTAAGTTTGAACTTTGAATCACATATCAATGGTTGGATTTGCTATGATAGCCCCTCTTTGGCCTTGAGATAATATGTATTCCTCAACATCAACAAAATCCCCAATAAGTTTGAAATTGCAAAATATTAGTCTCTGTAATTCTTCAATTTCCGGCCACCCATATGAAAACTTCCCAACCACGACATATTGGAGATTTTCTATGGATGTTCATGTGTGACACTTTCACCTCCATCGACTTCACCATAGGCTTACCGTTAACGAAGGTCATAGATTCATAGAAATAGGATCGACCTTATAAGGACTATCTGCACGGTATTGATGACATGAACATTTCTTTACCACTTGCATAAAAATATAATCCCTGCCTTTGGCCATAGTTCCATACCGATGCATTTCTTTTACTCATAATAATACAAATCTGTTACAAACATATACATAAAATAAGCTAATGCCCCCAAACAACTATAGTACTTTACAAACTGACATGAGTTGTGATAGTATTCGAGGGGAGAAATATTCCTTCTGATATGAAATGCTGCCCGCTTTCATCATTGTTCGGTAAATTTTTTGTAGCTCCGATCGTTTCTACATAAAGAAAACAAATATCATCAGACTCCAAAATTAAACCATCATTAGATCTACAGTTTTGTGATTTTTATGATGTAAATTGTAAAGAGTTGCCTAATTAAAAACTTGTGAATTTACTAGGAAAGGAGAAAATATTTGGTATCAGTGGTAACACTCCATTAGTTGATTTTAAATTAATTTGTATTTTCGAAGTAAGACTAAAGAGTGCTTAATATGCTAAGAAAGATGTGTTATGAGGTATTCAAATTGCACAATGGTTGTATGTTAAGTTTTGAAGTCGTCCGCAAAAGTTATGACAAATTACTTTCATAAATTCTCTAAAAATTGAGTTAGATGTCTAAAAGATTTTCTCTCAATATATAAAGAGTTAGAAAGTTCACTACCTATCACATCAAAGTTCTATGACACGCGAGCTGGTTAGATGCATGGGACAGAGGGCTTGTGGTACCTGCGTAGGTACTTGCTAGAGCGGCTACGCAGTGAAAGGGAAGGAGCCTAAATCGATCCCCTTCTTTTTTTCTATGAAAAAAGCAATAAGGAGTAAGGATATTAAGATTAAACTCTCGGATTAATTTCCACACATTAAACCGCTAACAAATACAACTTCACAGTAAAGAGATATTTGCGTTTTCACAAGACTGCGCAAGTAGGTAGGTTGCAGTGGGCCCTATGTCGCTCAACTTCTTCATTTTTATTTCATTTCCACTTTGTCCCAAAACCAGAAAAACAGAGCATAGGACCAAAATACTCCTTAGATGTTGATGATTCGAGCTTAAGTGCTTAACAAATGTTGTAGTTCTCACCGAGCTCATCATTTTTATGTAGTTTACCCTTAAAAATTGTGTGGTGTAGCTCCAGTTGTGTTGTGGCAGTAGGAGTTAGGCTGCATTGGAGGCTTCGAGTAGTATTTCGAGCAAAGAGAGCATTAGAGCAACGTAAGACTCCTTCCAACGATTCTAGTTTTGTTAGGCCACAAATAGTATTTTACGGAAAAAATCTGTATAGTTTGTCCGATCAACATAATATTGAATGATTGAGTTCCCGCTTGATATAGCCTTGTGGGAGTGTGGGAAGGAATAGATTGACGACATGGCATTGTCGGGAAAAAGTATGCTAAGGCGATTTCGTTCTTTCAGCATGTTTTCTTAAAGCGTAGAAATGATATGGCTAGATTATTGTCGTTGATTTACTCATAGCCATAATTGCACATTGCTGTATGTTCAAGTTGATATATTCATCCCTTGTCGAGACTTGTATTCTATTAATAGTGACCCTGTGTTCAGATATGACATTTCTATCATTTGTATAGGTCACTTATAAGCTAAATTGATCGCCGCCTTCAGGCTACTTGTGTATTGTTGCTGCCTACGGAGCTATTGTAGTTAGTTGCAGGGGTTTTGCTTGTGCCTCCGAGTCTATGTACAGGATGCCTAAGGGGCTATTGAAGTATTTACAAAGCATACAGGTGGTACTATTACCTACGGGGCTACACTAGTGCCTAAAAAGGTTATGTGATTCCTAGGGGGCATAAAAATGATGCCTAAAAGGGCTATGTTAATGCCTAGAACGGCTATGTTGATGCCTATGAGGCAATGTTGATGCCTAAAAGAGCTCTATTGATGCCTACGAGGCTACGTTAATACCTAAAAGGGAAATGTGATGCCTAAAGGACTATGCGATGTACATTGAGGAGCTGGCATACTTATTCGGTTGTAGAAATAGAATTTTTCCAGCTACTTACTTGGGCCTTCCATTGGGGGCTAACTACAAGGCGGAAGGCATCTGGAGTGGAATGATTGAAAAGTTTGAAAAAAGGCTTGCTACATGGCAAATGCAGTACCTCTCTATGGGTGGCAGACTAACATTGATAAACAGTGTACTTGATAGTATCCCAACATATAGTATGTCACTACATCCCATATCCAGTAAGGCTTTGAAGCAACTGGACAAAACCAGAAGGAATTTTCTGTGGGAAGGGAATAGCAACTGCCATAAATTCCATTTGGTCAAGTGGCCAACAGTCTTGTTACCAAAAAAGTTAGGTGGTCTGGGCATTAGAGACTTAGCATTGCACAACAAATGCCTACTTATGAAGTGGCTGTGAAGATATACTCAAGAGGAGCAGAGCCTTTGGAAAGATGTGATTATTGCTAAACACGTAGCCCTAAACAACTGGTGTTCTAATGTTTCAACAGAGCCATATGGAGTTGGTGTCTGGAGAAGTATAAGCAAATTATGGGAGGAATTCTCTCAACACAAACACTTAATAGCAGGGAATGGACAACATATCAGCTTCTGGAGAGAAATGGATGTTTATACTTTATGCTCATGGTTTTATGTAGTAGTAGTTTTTCTAAAATATATAAATAAAGCAACCCTTATAAAAGAAGACCCTCCATAAATAGTTTTTTAGATAAATATGCCTAAAATTGATAGGATAAAGATTCCATAACATTGTGTTCCTGAAACTACTTTATTCATTTTTTATCACTGCTCTTTCATTTTTTATCCTCCTCCTCCTTTGAAATATAAAAACAAAAATCAATTAAATAATTAGTTGAGGGTCCAAAAGGACTAGTAGATGTGGAGTTCGATGACGATTTCATTTTAAAGATTATCTCTATTATTTTTTTTGTTATTACCTTTTTCAAATAATAATTATAATAATGTTTCTATATTATTGATGATTTATTTGAAATTATTTGTGGAATTGTTGAAAAATTTACTTTTGTTTATTTTATTAGCAATAAAATTACAAAATTGAAGATACATGAGATGAGACTTACTCCCTGTTGATGCATAAGACTTACGCCCCTAGTTTTGGGGATTACGCCTTGCCCCGTGCTGCATAAAGTACCTCGCCTCGCACCCCCTCTTTTAAAACATTGCTTGGTAGGCAAGTGTGGGAGAACATGACACTCTTCTCGTCATGATTGTTCCTTTCCCTAGCCAGAACTACAATAGTGTTTAAAACTAGTCTTAACTTTGTGCGAGAACTAAAAATGGGGTTCAAAAGGTGCTCTATCCTTTCACCTAAGGAATGTCTATTTCCCCAACTCTTTCCTCCCAAACCAACTAGTGGAAGGAGAGCAACTTAAGTTTCTACTCCACTTCCCTTTTCCTCATTTTCTAAGGAGCTATGTGGAAAAGTATCTTACAATGGACTCATATTCCAAACCTTGGAAAACAGAAAGTGTCTATAGTGTTTTTATTTCACTAATGCATAATCTTTAGATATAGATGATGCTATAAGTTCTCTTTCAAGATCCCAAAGAACCATGCAGAATCTAACAATAAAAGGGCAATCTATAAGGTCAAAATGCATTCAAGGCATGTTACCTCTGGGCATTTAAGCTTTGAGACTCTTACCTTCCCTTTGAGCACGCTGATATATTAACACATGTAAGCGAATGCTGTCCTTATTGAGCATTCTGTATTCAGCAATTTGATTAGTGGAGGGGGGTTTTGAGAGCATCACCTTTGTGGTAGTGTATGACCATTCATGGATCCCTTGGCAGAGTAACTGCACTTTAGCCTTTGATCATACTCCTTGCCATTACGGATTGTAGCAACCTCCTTTTCCATTGCTGCAACTTCCCTGCGCATTCTTTTGGCCTCAATTGCCATTGCCTTGTTTAACGTTTCAACCTTCTTTGCCAACATCTGCATATTTCACATGAAGATAAGCTGAATGAAAGCAAAACAAAATGGAGGGGTTGTGCGTGTGTGTCTGTGTTCTAGCTTATTGTGGAGTTCAGAGAAACAGAGCATGAAACCTCAATGGCATCATCTTTGTCCTTCAGGCTATGATCTTTCTCATTGCAAGCTTTGCGTAGAACTATAACCTCTTTTTGAAGCATATCGTACACTGCTCCAGAAACATAATCTTTATTTTCCAACTTCATTTTCTCAGCAGCATTCAAATCTGCATTCTCATGTGCAGTTACTATTCCATTGCTATGGGACTCTCTGCTAGTACCACTATGTCCATTATCTTTCTGATCCGTAAGCTGGACTGGCTTCTCCTTACCCTCTGATCTGCTGCCGCCATCAAATGCGCCCGATAAGTTCTTTGCTTTTTTTAACAATGAGCTAGCATCATTTGACTGGGATGATCCAGATTGAAAACTTGTTTTTCGTAATAAAGAACCATTGGAGGGTCTGGACAAGTTTTCAACTCCTCCAAGGGACATACGCCTTGAGCGCACATTGCTTATGCTTCTTCCTTCAGCTGCAGTGCGAGATGTAACATTTGAAGGCACCTTAAACCTTTCTTCCAAAACTTTAAATCGTAATTGATACTTTTCCTGGGAAATCAAGGAATGCAATTGGTAGCACATACACAATAAGTGCAAAGCAGCATAATTTTCTGAACCATTTACTTTCTTACCTTTAACTGTGCTTCTGCTTTTGCAGCACGCTCTGCAATTGCCAGTTTATCTTTAAGCTGTTGCATTTCTCCCTGCAAAAACATATACAGAAGGATATACATTCCTGAATGTCGAGCATCATACCTACTGAGTATATGTGGAAATGCATATGATAAATCTGATATCCAAGGTAACACTTGGTTTATTCTGCTTTTTAAGTACCATGGTTGCATATCCAGAGAAAACTAGTTAGATAGAAGTGGCCTATTCTCATTTAAAGCTGACAGCCTTTTCCCCTTTGATCTATCGTGGTTTGACCTCACATCTTGAGGTTGAACGTCCACTCTCCTTTAAAGTTGACTCCTTTAGTCCCATTTATCTGTCTTCATTTGATCTCACATTTTGATTTATATGAAAATTGCAAGAGAAGAAGTAGGTCCAACAACTGAGACTTATTAATTAGTGAGGCGATGAAATTTCCATTTCAAGGAACAACCACATACCTCATGTAATCCCTTTTGTTGCTTACTTTATTTCCATGCCCAACTTTTTCTTCTTTTTCTTTCCTTGAGATGGAAGCAGCCTCTCTACCTTCCAACCCATGTTCTATTAGTAATTAGTTACTCACATATATTAATGAGAACTGAATAAGGGCAAATTCAGGTTGATTCGTGCAACCATCCTAGTTTACAATAAAGGTCATTTTACATTGCACTATTACGACAATTAGCATATGTTTTTTTCAGAGAAAGTAAAGCTAAAGTATTCATACCTGGTAATATTTTCTTTCTTCAAGCCATTGTTTTACAGGCATTACTTTGTCAGTGGCATCTTTCCAGTCATTGGCAACAACAACAGCTACTCTGTTTGCAGAAATCTTTGCACGGGCTAGCTCACGATCTAGGATTCTTTTCTCCTCCTACAAATCATAACATTTAGTCAGGCTCAATATATGACAGATACTGAATTAACAAATAAGAAGAAAAAATAACAAGATATAAAGAAAGAATAGGTTGTAAAGTTAAGATCTACTTGCATTCAGTTCTTGCACTTTTCTCTGGTATTCTCGTACAGCATTTGCTGCAGCTCCACCAGCCAATACAGCTTCCTCAAGCTCCCGTACAGTTTGTGTTAGTTTCTCAACCTCTGCAACCTTCAGTCTATGCATTTTGTCCAGTATTTTGTTTTCTTCCTGCAATATGAGTCTAGATGCTTACATCGGACTCTTGATAATGACAGCTAAAATGAAAGTACGCTTCCCATTGATATCAAAAACTGAAGAAACTTTAGTGTCGGCAAAACCTGGCATATTTCTATCTGTTTCATTAGATCTTGATTTTTATTTTGCAGGTCATCAACCAAAGCAGCCTTTGCCAATGCCATTTGAACAGTTCGTTCTGCCTCCAGTAGAGCGGCTTCTTTAGATTTTGTAAGTCTGTCTAGTGCTTTATTGTCATCCTGCAACTTTGCCATCTGCAACAGAAGTCACGAGAGGCAAACTTTTAAATTTTGGAAGAGATAGCATTACCAAACTTCACCAAGGTAGCAACATGAGTAATTCTCAAGAACCGCGAAGAATACCAAAGTCGACAAGTACCTCTAATCTGGAAAGTTTTAACTCTGCTTCGAGGGGTGTGATGATTGCCTCAATGGGCGGCATCTCATCATCTTTCTGTGCGGCATGAACTCTCCGAAGAGTAGCTTCAGCAGCAAATTGTGCAGCCAGCACTGACTTTTTCTCATCATTTATCTTCTTAATCTCAAGATTCTGAAATACGAAAAGGTCTCGTTAAATTCATAATTCTGAATTATTAGGCTCTAAATTCTTAGTTAATTTCCTTATCTCAGTTAGTTATAAAAGGCCGTCGCACAATCATAGAAGAATAGAATAGAGGTAGGAAAGTATTCATGAATATTGAGGACATGTAATATCAGCAGTAAGACATGTACCTTGTTTTCAAGAAGAGCTTCTGTTTTTTTCAGCTTTTCATCTACTTTCTTTAGCTCATCATTTAGCTGCAAAAGGATTCAAGAAAAAGGGAAAAGGACATCAATAAGATAAAGTCCCCTTCATTGTTCTATTTTTTTTTATTTTTTTTTTGACAAAGTGATGATGCATATATAGAAGGACAGAGTATATATATAATGTTTAACGATTTGGTGCAACTGTTGAAGGCACACGTACTCAATTGGCTGAAACTTCGAATTACACAGTGATATTATGAAATCTGACAGGCATTTTCTTTAGCAGTCATCATGGAAAGATATGAACCTTACTCGTAAAGATGTCGTAAATTGATTTTAATGAATAAAAAAGACACAATAATTCCATACTTTTTTAATTTGAAGAGGCTAACTTCAACCCCCCCCCCCCCACCACCACCACCCACCCACCCAAGTGAACCATTATGTTCCTTTGAACCTTCATAGTACAGTGTTACAGCTCTTTGACCGAGATTTTCAGACTCTTGGGCACCAGACTTCCAAGGAGCTAACTTTGATATGGATAATCAGCTATCAGACTCCAGAGATGAAGGCATTTTAACAAAGATTTACTGACTCAGACTTCCTGATTTGCTAACTTCTGATATGGATATATAGTTATAATATTCCATAGATAATGGAATTTCAACACCACGGCACTGTCAGCAGCTTCAACGACAAACCCAATCATCGGGTCATAAATATTCTTTTGATTCAGTCTTCTATGAACTGCTTTGTTCATTTGATCCTTCACCATACATAATTACAGCTATTTAACCAAGATTTACAGACTCTTGGACACCAGACTTCCCAAATTGCTAACTTTTGATATGGATAAATTGAGATTGCAGGGACAAGAGCATTTTACTAAGAACAGGTCACGAATGAAAAAATTGCAGGGACAAGGGCATTTTACAAAGAACAGGCCTCGAATGAAAAATTCCGTAGCTTCAACGACAAATCCAGTCATCAGATCATAATGATTTCTTTTGACTAATTCCATCATGTACCCAATCATAATGCTTCATAAGATCCATATAGCGAAGTTTAAACGTACCTTGCAATGTATAGTCAAATGAAAGTTCCTATATAATTATTGACTTTAGGTGAGGGGTTTAAATTTTACGGATGGACCATACTCTAAATGGTCTACTTAAATTAACCATACACAAACATTCCTTTTACTTGTTTTTCTATTAGACCATTTTTCCATTGTCGGGTCGAAACTAAAGAGTTTAATTTCACACTGGTTTTTGTTCCTTCTAATTTTCTTTAAGTTACCTTGGTTACTTACCTCAAAGAAGAACTATAGTTTTAGTTTTTATTTGGGAAGTTAGTCAGAGGTGGTTTAAACATAAAATTTAATGTCTGCCCAATTTAGAATCAACAGAGGAGTTGAGGGGAATGTAGCAAAAAGTTCATTAACAGATCTATAAGGAATGGACTAGAGATAAGGTTGTATGTATACTGTACAAGATCCATACATCTCATTTTGTATTAAGTGAGCCAAAAAATTTCTTGACTGTAAAGTGCACATTATTTTTGTCACGAACTAAATGAATAGGTAAATATTCGAATTCAGTGGTTTGAGCTGAACAACTATTGCAAACTAAAGTAATAGCTCAATTCAATAAAAAAGACACGAATTTTGCAATTAGATAGTTTTATTCTGTATTAGGTACAGCTATATGCATTTTTTTACATGATTAGATATTTTCATATAGGTTTCTATACCTCCTCAACTGCCTTTTCTTTAACGCGTTCTGAGTACTTCAAAGATTTGATTTCTCCATATGCCTCCCCCAGTTCTCTATCTTTATCTGCAAGGTTTTGCAGACTATAAGCTCCAGTAAGAAGTATGCAGAGACTTGCCAAAAAAGAAAGTAGTATATAGTCACAAAGAGTAGTGGAAGTTTGTTCCAGCTTGCATATGGTGGACAGTTTGGAATGAGAGGAATGCTAGATATTTTGAAGGCAAGAGCAGTTCAATCCAGAAGATTAAGAGTTCTTGCATTTCTCTTTCTTATATTTGGTGTAAAGAAGAGTCAGTAGATGATGCAGAAGTTTTTGTTAGGGCTGTAACAGTAAATATGATATATCAGGCCTATATTTCGAGTGCTGATGATATAACATGTTACCAATTTCAAAAAAAAAAAGGAATAGTATGTAGAGACTATAGTTGTGCCAGGAAAGATAACCCAAAAAGGAGAATAAAAGGAAAAAAAAACAAGAAAGGGGCTAAAGTATGCCCCTCCAAAAAGGAAAATGCATAGTTGATCGATCACAAGTGATTTATGTTATACCACGGACTCCTTGGCAAGGAGTGACACACCCAATCTTTAATCTCTGTACAAACTCTTTCCTGTTTAAGGATACGCAAAGACGTTTGTAAGAGGCAAAAGCTAATCCCATGCACCTAAATTCCTGAAGGTGCTTACATTTTAGTTCTCAAATATTTTCAGTGTAACAGATGTTGGGATATCTTTGATTGATGGAAGTATCCAGCTTATCATTCAAAACTCATTAATATTGCAAATTGTGTGCATTAGTAAGTGGAGGCTATCAAGACATTTGTTATAGCATGTTGTTTAATATTACTTCTAGAATCCACCATCAGAGCACTCTCAATTATTAGTCATGTAAAATAATCACTTCTTTGTGGCTAACTTGATCACCCTTCTTCATACTACATTTCCACTATGTAACACATAGCCACCTTCATTACATTAAATCAAAGTTTGCTTCAGAGTTCTTTTTATATTTACTTTTGTTAATCCATTTTTCCAATATCTCTAATTATACTCTCTTCATTGCTGAGAAATGTGCATTTTTCATCATATGGACTGTAAGATAAGGTCACAAAAAAACCTATGAGCATACTTCATCACAGAAACTTGGTACCATACAAAACATTCATCAAATTGGTGGGTGGTGAACAGGTCACAAGAAGACGTACGACTACATCCACTTTGGCACGAAAACTTGCTAGAATGTGCAACGTAAATGAAATTGGCTCAACGTTAGAATGTGCAAATGTTCATCAAATGGACCATCTGAAGTAGGGACCAACAAAATTGGCATCATTACACATGCAACAACAAAAATTACATTTTAGCATTTTTCCACTGTTCTGACTCAGAGAAAACAACCTGCACATTTCTAATTTGTCTTTATTAGCTTTTGAAGTCACAAGTTTCCAAATATTCCATGTGAGCAAGCCTCATACATCTTTTTCTATATCCCACAGCAAATAAACTAAAACAAACAAGTTTCTACTAAAAAGAAAATAACCAAACTTAATTATTATTTTTTTTTTAAAAGTAGTCTACAAAAAGAGAGAAATAAGAAAGAACTCTCGGGCAAGTAAATTACAACACCATTTTGCGAATAAAAAATATCATAAACTGCTCTAAATTTAAACTTTTGTGAAGTACTTTTCAGATAAAATACAGTAAAATCCAGAACCCCTTCAAAATCAAAGTTTTTTCTTTTTATACCAGTAAACTGTCTGGAGAAAAAAATTCATCATAAAAGTACAACCATAAACCATATGGAAAAATATATTGTTTTAATTACAATTTTTTTTTAAAAAAAAGGAAAGATAAGATGGCCAACTGACACACAATACCATATGTAATCACAGAGCTGCCAAAAAAAAAAAAGGAACTAATCACATAATTGCAGAGAACACAAGAAATTTCTTTGAACCCAATTCAAAAAATATATACTTTTACCAAAATGAGCTCAAAAAAGCTAATTTTTTTTCATCAAACCAATTGCGGAATATAGAGGTGAACTGACACCTCAAAATCAATTAATAACAGAACAGTCAAGAGAAAAACAAAATAATTGATCACAATAAAATGGAAAATTCCCCAATTTGTTTTAATTAATAAAAATAAGAAAATTCAAACCTCGGAGTTGATTCTCAAGACGAGTGAGCTCAATTCGGATGGGATCAGAGCCATGCAAGAGGTTGATAAAGTCATCAGGTTCACCGGAAATGGCTGGTGCTTTCCTCCGGCTCCTGAATGAAGTCAGCTTCATCGGCTCCACCGGAGCATCCCCGTTATTCCCCATATTCAAATAAACAGAAAAAATGGAATACTACTACAGGTAGAGAGAGAGAGATCTGTTTCACTACAGAAAATTCCAAAACCCCAAAATTCTGGAGTACAGAATG